TTAAACCAGTTTTATGTTCACAGCAAAATGAAAAGGAAAATACAAAGATTTCCCCTATAACCCCTCCTCCCTCCACCAAGCTTCTCTTGACTTCTGATACCACAGTGGTACATTGGTTAAAATCCATGAACCTATGTTGAGATGTCATCATCACCCCCAGAATCCATAGTTTACTTTAGGGTGACTTTTGGTGTTCATTCTGCAGATTTTGACAGAAATATGACTTGTATCCACTATCGTATACAGAAGTTTCAGTACCCTAAAATTTCTTTTTTCTTTTAACTTTTGATTGATACATAATATTTGTGCATATTTACAAGGTACAGTGTGATGTTTCGATTGTCATATGCTTGGGGTAGTGAGTGATCCCCACCCAGTGCTTAGCATGTCCATCACCTTGAAGTTGTGTTATTTCTTTATGGTGGGTACATTCACAATCCTCTCTCCTGACTCTCTTAAGTTTTGTGATGCACTGTTGTTAGTTCTATTCACTCTCCGTGCTATAGAACCCCAGAACTTAGTTCTCCTGCCAAACAGTACAACCTTGTCCCTGTTGGCCAACCTCTCCCATCTCCCACTCTTTCTCTGGTAACCACTATTCTGCTCTCTACTGTGATGAGATCTTTTTTAGATTTCACATATGAGTTAGGTGATGTAGTGTTTACTTTTCTGAACCTAACTTATTCAGTCAACACAGTCTCCTTTAGGTCCAAAGTGGCAGGATCTCATGCTGAAGAGTGTTGGATCTCGCAGATGTACCACATCTTCTTTATTTCTGTTTGTTGATGGACATTTAGGTTGATTCTCAGTCTGGCTGTTGTGGATAGCGCTGCAGTGCCCTGGGCGTGCAGGTGTGTTTTCAATATGGTGATTTCATCTCCTTTGGGCATAGACCCAGAGGGGAGGCTGCGGGGTTGCAAGGTAGCTCTATTTTTAACTTTTTTGAGGAACCTCCTTCCCATTTGCTGTGCTGATTCACATTCCCCGCAGTGGGTGAGTGCTCCCCTTTTCTCCTTGCCAGCATTTGTCATTGTTGTCTTTTTTATAATAGCCATTGTCATTGGTGAGGTGGAAGCTCATTGTAGTTTTTATTTTGATTCCTGTTCATCCTTCCCTCCTCCTTAACCCCTGGCAATCACTGATCCTTTTAGTGTCCTCATGGTTTTGCCTTTTCCAGTGTGCATACAGTTGGAGTCAGATGTGCATACAGTTGGAGTCAGATGTGTAGAGCGTTTTCAGATCAGCTTCTCACTCTTAGTAATAGCGTTTAAGTTTTCTCTATGCCTTTTCATGGCTTGATAGTTCATTTCTCTTTTAGCACTGAATAGTTTTCTGTTGACTGGATATACCACAGTTTACAGTCATTCTCGCCTTATATAGGTTCCCAGACCCCCAGAGGTCCTCTAACCATGGATAGTACTAACCCCCATATATATTGTTTGCCCTTGTATGTAACACCTGTGATGAAGTTCAGTTAACAAATCAAGCACTGGAGAGATTAACAGCAATAATCAATAATAAAACAGAATCATTACAAAATATACTATAATAATAGTTGTATGACTGTGGTCTCTTAAAATTTTTGGTATGGTTTTCACCATTTTTACAGTGATGTGAGATGATACAGGCTTATATGATCAATGAAGTGAAGTGGGTGACACAGGCAGTGTGACACAACATGAGGCTGCTACAAGGAGGGTTATTTGAACACAAGTACTGAGATACTACAGTTCTGATAACCAAAATGGCTATTACGTGCCTAAAGGAGGGTAGCATATACAGTGTGGATATGATGGACAAAGGAATAATGCACTTCCCTGGGCAAGATATACAGCAGGATGGCATGAGGTTTCATCACAAAATCAGAACAGTGGGATTTAAAACTGGTTTGTTTTGTTTTTGTTTTTGGTACTAGAGATTGAACTCTTTGCTTTATCACTGAGTTGTGTTCTTAGTCCTTTTTATTTTTTATTTTGAGTTGGGGTCTCACTAAATTGCTGTGGCTACCCTCAAACTTGGAATCCTTTTGCCTCAGCCTCCCGAGTCCTTGGGATATTACAGGAGTGTGCCACTGTACCTGGCAGTAGTTTAAAACTTATGAATTGTTCATGTCTTTGATTTCCCACTTAAGGTTGTCAGGCCACAGTTGACTTGAGGTAACTGAATTTGTGGAAAGCAAAACTATGGATAGTTGGGCACTAATTTGACTTAGGCATCTCCTGCTGTAGGACGTCTTGTTTACTTCCAAGTTTGGCAATTATGAATAAAGCTGCCATATCCATGTGCAGATTTTTGTAGGGACTTGTAGTTCATTGAGTAAATACGGGGAGCATCGCTGCTTCATGGTTATGGCAGGAGTATGTTTGGTTTTGTGGGAAGTCAGTGAACTGTCTTCCAGAGTGGCGGCCCGAGTTTGCATTTCCACCAGGCGCTCCTGTTGCTCTGCAGCCTCACCAGCATTTGGTATTCTCATGTTTTGGTTTTGGCCATTCTGACATGGGGTTGCGGTTTCTCATTGTTGTCTAGATTTGCCATGTTGCCTTATAACAGCTGATGTTGAATGAAAAGACATCCAGTTATCTTCTTTGGTGAAGTGCCTGTTGAGGTCTGTTGCTTTTTTTTTTTTTTTAACCAGACTGTTTCCTTATTGTTGAATTTTAGAAGTTCTTTGTGCATTTTTTAATTTTTATTTTTTAGTTGTAGTTGGACACAGTACCTTTATTTTATTTATTTATTTTTATGTGGTGCTAAGGATCGAACCCAGGGCCTCACATGTGCTAGGTGAGTGCTCTACTGCTGAGCCACAACCCCAGCCCTCTTTGTGCATTTTGGATAACAATCCTTTACCAGATGTGTCTTATGCAAATTTTTTATCCCAAGTCTGTGGCTTGTCTCGTTCTCTTGACAGTGTCTTTCACAGAGCAGAAGTTTTTAATTTTAGTGAAGTCCCGATATCAGTTCTTTCTTTCGTGGATAGCATTCTTTGCTGTTGTATCTTAACTCATTTCCACACTTGGGGTTATCCAGGTGACACAGGAAAATTATAGTTAGGTTCTGAGGAAGCCTAGGTTAGAATTGGAGTTGGTCATTTCCCATCTCCCTGGTAATTAAGTTCTGATAAACCCCAACAGGTTAGGCTCTGGCAAAACAGTTTGTGCAGAAAAAATGGAATGGTCCTGTGAAGAACAGAGTTCTCTGGCTTATTGCAAAATGTTTTTTTACCCCTTTATCTTTCAGAAGCGAGAAGAGATTTTTCTCCACATTTTCTGTGAGAATCTGGTTGAGCTTCAGGAGGTAAAACTCAGAGGAGTGCGGGGGTCCCTTTCAGGAGACTCCCTGGGGCTCTTCTGACTGCGACTTAGCCACCCCGAGCTTCTAGTGTTGACCATGGTTGTTCAGCTTTCCCTCGGGGCACCGGTTCCAGTGGAGGCTGCTGCCGGAGGATTTCTGTTCTGTTGTGATTTTCTGTGTTTACCATAGATTTCTCAGTGTTGGAGGCAGCCTTCTACCCTGTGACCTTATTTGTCTGATGGATCTAGGAAGTTACTCAGTTTTCAGTTCAGCTTTTTACTTGATGGGACAAAAAGTGCTAACTTCTAAGCTCCCTCCATGCTGGACTGGAAACTGGAAGTTCAGCTCTCTAGAGAGAAGAAAGAAAGTGGATACACAAGCCTTCCTGACCATGCATGTGTTAGTTGAGCACATTGACAGGCTGTGGGAGGCTGAACCTGCTCCCGCGTCCTTTGGAGCAGCACGACTTCAGCACAGACGTGGGTGACCTGGGATCTTGGTCCTGATCCCAGGGTTACTTAGTGGGTCCTGGCGCGGCTGAGGTAGACAGGGTTTGTTTGCACACTAAGATAATACCAGTGTCTTTCTAGTGTTTACCTAGTGTCTTTGGCAGTTCTCTTGGCCAGTTCTAAGACTTTTATATCTATGACATTTAAAATGACTTTAAGTGCATGTTTTGCTTTGTGGCGATGTTTGCCATTTGCCATCTGTTTTCCTAGATCCAGCCCTCATCACAGCCTAGGTCTCTGGTGTGCTAAGGCCTGTGGGCTTTCCAGTAAACTTACTGAATCCGTGTACCTTATCCTGCTGCTCAGCTGGAACTCTTATTCCTGTGGTTGAGCTGCCTCGTCATGGCCTAGTGAAAATCTTCTCCATCAGTCAGACCCTTTGTGGAAGATAGCAGGGCTCACCTATGAGGGCCAGCTGGTTCTCCCCTGGTAAGGAAGCCTCCTGATGATGATGGCATCTCCTGTGTTCCATGCTTGCGCACTGTGTGACTGTCCCCTTGTAGCTACAGCTGGTGTAGAGTTATGGACCACAGGCGGCATTGCCGCCTCCCCAGGCCTGCCCGGGTTCTTCTGACCGCTGCCCTCCCTGCTCTCGGCCATTGAGAGGGACTCGGGTCCGTGTTCTGTGCCTGCAGTTCTAACCTGTTGGCAGTGTAGAAAAGAAAAGGCATTCCACTTGCACTTGCAGATGAGCCATATAAATTACTTTATCACAGTTACTGGCTAAGTAATCTTACGTCTTCCTTGAGTGGTATGGTATGAAATTAATCCTCCTCTCTCACTGGAGAGCAGCTTTTTCAGCTGTTCATTTCCTGAAGTGACCAGCAGTAGCTTTCATCTCCCTTCCACCCTCTCATTGAGAAAAGAGCATGATCATTGTTGAATTAAATGACTTTGGTGGGAGATTAAAGCAGGCAGGCTTTGATCTGTAATGCCAACTCCAGCACCTTTTCCAGGGACGCACTAACCCCCAGAAAAAAGCTAAGAGCCACGGATTTTAATTAAAGACTTGGACTCAGAGCACGTACTTATTACCAGGCCCATGTTCAAAGTCTTAAGCGCAGCCCAAGATCAGAGCACCATTAGCGTCCCAGGCAACCAGGCAGGGTCCAGGTCCTCTGCCCCTTTGCCTTAATCCTTGCACCCGTGTCTGGGGACACACAGCCCCAGGAGGGCTAATCTTTCTGCCCTGCCTTTCAGATCGGCGCCAGTGGTGTGCCATCGCTGTCCTCTTCGCCATCCTGCTGGTCGTGCTGGTCCTCTTCTTGGTGCTGTGACGGTGGCCCCCGTGGCCCGGGTTCCTCCTGCACAGGAGCCAGGGCAGGGGCAGTGCCCTGGGCACACACTCCTCCCGACTCCACCGCCAGACGCCCCTCCCTCCCGCGCTGGCAGGACTGGCGAGAAGAGGAAGAGGGACTGCACTCCTGTCGGACGACACCCCTGCTGCCCGTCCTGTTTGGGGGCCACTAGCCACTGCTTTGCCTTGCTGGACCCCACTCCCTGAGGAGAGACTGAGTCGCCCAGAAGGGTCAGCAGAGCCTGATTCGCCCGTCTCTGGCAGCTCCTTTCTTCTGCTGTCCATCAAAAGATCCCTGTCCAGGAGGCGGCCTGGGCGGGCCGTTTCCCATCGCTAGAGCATTTCTCACTCCCCAAGAGCTGGTTGTTGACGAGGACAGAAGGCTCAGAAGCAGTTTGTGACTGCAAATGCCGTGTTTCATTTTTCAGGGGTCAGGGCTGAGATAAAATTGCTTTTCCAGGTGCTTTTTTTGTGTGGTGGGAAAACTAATGGAAACAGTGAGACACCCTGGGGCTTGGGGTCGCTGACAGCCTTTGGCTTTAATGGACAAGAGCAATTAAAAGGCGCAGCAGGACCTGCTCTGGCGCAGCCCAGGGAAGGGGTGATGGTGTCTCCAGAGGGGGGGCCAGACCTGCTCTTTGCACGCCGCTGTCCCAGGGCTTCTTCCCAGAGGTGCAACTTACATTTTTAGGGGAACCCTTGAATACATCATTGCTGAACAGTGCAGAAGCGCACTCAAACGGATTAGGATGCTGGCTTGTCCTCACTGACACTTATTTTATTCTGGTGGCACTCTCCATTGGGGGATGGGGTTGGAGTGGTTAGTACATTTATTACATTTACGCAGAAACCATCTTGACCCAAAAAGGCTATTTCTGGGCCAGATTTCCCTTACCCTGTGAGTAATGGCAAGACGGGTAAGTGAACCTGACTCTTTTCTTCCTGAAGATGTCAGCTTGACTGGATCATCCATTCTAATAACTGAGCCAATCCAAATGTAATGATAGATGCTTTAATTGAGCTTAAGTAGCTGAAGCTGCTGAGACACTACACTTCAAGCTTCTGATGGCTTTAAAGGCCTTGAATGCGCACATGTATATAGGATATTTTTTATAGCTTCCCCGATGCATAACCTGATGTTAGAGTAGCAGCTGGACCCAGAGCCGCAGCTGGGCCCCGGGGGCTGCTGGCCTCTGGGCGCCGCTGCCTTTGCACTTGGAAAGAGCAGTAGCCCCCGGGCAGAGTTGAAGCCTGGCCTCCTCCTGTCCTTGTCTTTTTGTGCTTTCCTCGGCACCCTAACTTTTTTCTTACTTTTCTTGTTTTGTTTGTATTTCTTGTGGATTGGTTTATGGGGGGGAGGTTCCCCTTTTTTGTGATTTTTTGCAACAAGTGCGCTTGCCCAGCTAACTTTTGAATTGCACTTTTTAATAAATATTTGTAACAATTTTTAAAGAAGGCTATTCTATCTTGTTTAGGAGCATGGTAGGTAAGGAAATCTGCCTGTTAATGAAAGCTAAAAGCAAATTTATAAAGCTGAAAGGGTGGTTGGCATCCATGTTTACACTCAACTCAAATTTTGATATATAAATAAGTTATTTCTTTTTAAATTAGGAAAAAGACTGTTACAAAGGGCTTCAAAGGTAGGATATCAGATTATTTATGTTTTAAAAGTTTTAAGACTTATTCAGATAGTCTTCTATAAACTTAGACCAGGGATGGTCCTTAGGTTTGCATTAAGAAGTCAAATTTTGTTAAAAATAAGTGGGACCTTGTTTAAGCGCCGTTCTGCTCACTCCTCATTATGAGAAGTAGCACCTCAGAGAATGACAAGGTCCCCTGTTCAAAAGCCTTGCTATTCTCCTGCTGTCACCAGACCCTGGTCAGTACAGTAAGGCCTGTATAGAACACGCCTGGTCATTTTATGAGTAAGACACTCCCGTTAGTTTAGGGCCAAGTTTGGTGGCCCCGGGCAGCATGTTGTTCCATTCTTTTGCATTGGCATTTTTTTTTTTTTTTTTTTCTTTTTTTTTATTTTTTTTATTTTTTATTGTTGGTTGTTCAAAACATTACATAGTTCTTGATATATCATCTTTCACACTTTGCTTCAAGTGGGTTATGAACTCCCATTTTTAGCCCATATACAGATTGCAGAATCACATCAATTACACATCCATTGATTTACATATTGCCATACTTGTGACTGTCATGTTCTGCTACCTTTCCTATCCTCTACTATCCCCCCTCCCCTCCCCTCCCCACCCCTCTTCTCTCTCTACCCCCTCTATTGACCTTCATTTCTCCCCCTTGTATTATTTTTCCCTTTCCCCTCATTTCCTCTTGTATGTTCTTTTGTATAACCCTGAGGGTCTCCTTCCATTTCCATGCAATTTCCCTTTTCTCTCCCTTTCCCTCCCACCTCTCATCTCTGTTTAATGTTAATCTTCTTCTCATGCTCTTCGTCCCTACTCTGTTCTTAGTTACTCTCCTTATATCAAAGGAGACATTTGGCATTTGCTTTTTAGGGATTGGCTAGCTTCACTTAGCATAATCTGCTCTAGTGCCATCCATTTCCCTGCAAATTCTATGATTTTGTCATTTTTTAATGCAGAGTAATACTCCATTGTGTATAAATGCCACATTTTTTTAATCCATTCGTCTATTGAAGGGCATCTGGGTTGGTTCCAAAGTCTTGCTATTGTGAATTGAGCTGCTATGAACATCGATGTAGCAGTGTCCCTGTAGCATGCTCTTTTTAGGTCTTTAGGGAATAGACCAAGAAGGGGAATAGCTGGGTCAAATGGTGGCTCCATTCCCAGCTTTCCAAGAAATCTCCATACTGCTTTCCAAATTGGCTGCACCAATTTGCAGTCCCACCAGCAATGTACAAGTGTACCCTTTTCCCCACATCCTCGCCAGCACTTGTTGTTGTTTGACTTCATAATGGCTGCCAATCTTACTGGAGTGAGATGGTATCTTAGGGTGGTTTTGATTTGCATTTCTCTGACTGCTAGAGATGGTGAGCATTTTTTCATGTACTTGTTGATTGATTGTATGTCCTCCTCTGAGAAGTGTCTGTTCAGGTCCTTGGCCCATTTGTTGATTGGGTTGTTAGTTATCTTATTGTCTAATTTTTGGAGTTCTTTGTATACTCTGGATATTAGGGCTCTGTCTGAAGTGTGAGGAGTAAGACCTCACTGTTGGAAGGTGATTGCTGAACGGTGGCTGAGACATGATGGGGTAAAGCTGAGTAGGGAACGTTGAGAGGGAGAATCAACTTAAATACAGGTTCCCCCTGCAAGGCACTCCCACTCCCACCTTAGACTGACCTAGAGCCAGCCTGACCCTGCTGTGCCCGCTGAGAGTCACCGCAGAACAGCCTTCCTTGGAAGGGCCTCCACACAGACTCCTAAACTGGCAGTGAAGTGCAGAGGCCAGGGGCCTACATTTATTTTCAAGGACAAATATTTCTTCCCCAGAGATGGAGATAACCTAAGTGTTCCCTTCACTCTGTCCCAGAGTCGGGGGTGGGGGTGGGGGCGATAGGGACACCCTCGCTGCTTGTGAGTGCCTCCTGCTGGCAGCCCAGGGTCTTTCCCTTCAGCCTCCACACTGAGGCTCAGTCGTCATTTTTAAAGAACTGGCAGAATGCGGTGGATCAGAGAGAAGGAGCTCAAAGAGCTCATAAACATCTATGTTTGTGAGAAGAACATTTATGTGACCGATCTGGAGGGCAGGTGCGAATGGACCACCGAGAGTTGGCCCGAGTGGGAGTCCAGCTGGAAAACCAAAACACCTTCAGTTTCTAGTCCTCTAATTTGTGTTCCTGTCTTTGTGAGGACTGTGAAAAATCACAATGCTACATTTGCTTTGGACTGTGTGGCAAATGGAATTGCAGTGGTGTGTGTGTGTGTGTGTGTGTGTGTGTGTGTGTGTTACATGAGGATCTTGCACAACTTCAGAATTCACACCAGAGCTGAAGGGGGGAAACTTGGTAACTTGCCCATTATTCTCTGCTCTTAGCCAGAGTTAAACAGACTGATGGGTCTGGTAGCCAACAACTTGGCAACTTCCATGCCTTCTCACCTCGTGAGATTAAGGGCTGTGAAAAGAAATCGAGTCTAACTCAACAGAAATCTGTCTCTGTTAAGTATTTTACCTTCTGTAAGTAAAGGTGGTGGAGCCAAGATTTTTCTTTTGGTAATTTCCCTGGCTATAAAGTGAGACCAGAGGGACATCTATTGCCTGTAACTTTTCTGAAGAATTTGGAGCATATGAAGATCAAGAAATCAAATGACGACTGTGAGCTGCATTTCAGCTGTGTGGATGGTGCACTGCTCAGCTCCACCTGGTACCACAAGGTGAATCTGTAAGCAAAAGAAGTGGCTGTCTGGAAACCACACGCTAAAACATGGAATGTGCAGCCTGTAGTTCTCTTTCTCTCACCGGCATTTCTTTCCCTCCCAAGTTTTCAAGAATATTTTTTTCCCAAAGGAATGTTCTTTGCCTAGAGAGAAGGTGAACCAAAGGCTTCTCAGATGTATCTCCCCCTCCATTGCCGTGGAGAGGGCACTAAAGATGGGACCCGATGAGAGGCCTTGCTAGGCACCTTGCTCCTCCTGGGCCTTCCTTCCCAGTTGGGCAAGTTGAGTCCCCGGATAGCCTGGTAAGAGGAGGTGGTCTTCCTTTTAATGTCCAGTTGCCCTAACTCCCAGCCTTCAGAAAATTTGCTTAAATGGTCTGATTCTGGTGTGGCCACATTGGTCAGCTGTTTGTAAACATGGGTGCCACTGTCGCCTGTTTTCTTGGTAATGCTCACTGGGAATTGCCTCTGGTGTTGGATCCAAAAAGCAAGAGTGTTATAGGGAGTAGAGCTGCCCCTCAGCCCCAGGCAGCCCCGAGTGAGCCTTGTGCCTGGTGCTTGGCGACTCAGGCAGAGAAATGCCAACAGAGCAGACCTGCCTTGTGCCCTCTAGAGGGTCAACTCGGAGGGACCTGGGATCACTGAGTGTGATCTTGTTGCAGATGAACAATAACAGCTCACCCCAGTGTGCATGGGGGTGCACTGCATTCTGGACTTGGCCACCGGGCGCCCACACAGCTTGTGGAACAAGTTGAGGCTGACTTCGGTGACAGAGGTCATTGGATACTGAGTTGTGCACAACACTTCGCTGTAGACTATGTGATTTTTTTTTTTCCTTTTGAATACAGAAGCTCTGAAAGTTCCAGTGGCACCGAGGCCAGGTTGTAGTGACCTAGACATATTTGGGAGCTCTTTGTATACTGCAGTCTCTTCACTAATTCAGCTGTTGGGGAAGTGGTTGGAGAGGAAAAAACTTGGTTTCCCTCTGCCATAAACTAACATGTGGTGCTCTTTTCCTCTGGATGTGACCTTTGTCCAGAGGTGCCCTCCCTGTGTAGATGTTCACTGTGCTGAGACCGCGTTGTCCTGAATGCCTGCCTGTTGCTTGGGCTTCACGTGAACATCTCATGGCCCTGGTTTGCCGACTGTAGCCAGACCTTCCTGAGAACAGTGCGTGGTATCAGGTTATCTTTTAAGGTCATGAGCTGTCAAACTCAGAGCCACTTGGTTATTCAGGGGATGTTAAAATAAGGCCAGTCAGCTTCCTCGTTTGCTCTCAGGCCCTGCTCCTTGGCCTTGGTGGCAGCTGCAGCCCTGGGGTGGGATCAAGCTCAGGGCTGTTTGCCAGCTCCACAGAATGTAGATCCCGCCGAGACGCCGTTTGTGAGTGGGAGGTGTGTCCCCGAGCTGAGGTCCAGCTTGGGAGAGGCCGATGTCTCTATCCCCAGCAAACAGTGTGTGTCCTGCCCTCTGGGATGGGGAGAGGACAGCCAGGACCCCAGAGAAGCTTTTGGAACTGCTTTTAAGCTCCTGCGATGGCTTCATAACTGGCCAAGAGTGGGCCCAGCTCTCCACGGACAGACTTGAGAGAGTACCCAGGGTGAGGGGGCCGAGAAGCCACTGAGGGGAGGACCAAGGGACCCCAGCCCTAAATGATGGATGGGTTACAAGTTTGTAAGTGGAAATGGGCTTTTCCTTGGCTTATTTGTTATTAGAAATAAGTATGATTTAGAGATAGGCAAAGCCCAGCAGAAATCAATCATTATATATTATCCACGCATAAATAACCTTGCAGCATTTTAATTTTAAGTAACTGGAAGGTGCACACTAAGGGAATGGGGTCAGGTTAGAACTGCAGACACCTGAGCAGCTTCCCTTGAGATGGTGAGAAGGGGCCAGAGCCAGAGGCTGGAAGTTTAACCAGCCTTGACCACAGCTAGATTTGTTTCCTTTATATGTGGCCCTCCGAGGTGGTATGGGACCAGGGTGGCTACAGCATCACCCAGGAACTTGTTAGAAATGCACATTCCCAGACCCCTCTCTGACCTGCTGAATCGGCAAGTCTGGAGGTCAGTACTGTCTTAACAAGCTGTCC